AAAAAAAAAAAAAAAAAAAAACATTTTTTTGGGTATGTGACGGTATGTGCCATCTATTCTGAAACCACTATAGTTGTTCTGGGAAGAACAGCAACACATAGCCGTATCCTACAGGATATCAGAAGGAAGCGTGGCCTGTAGCAAGCACACGATCACGCGCTGTGATCATGTGGTGTGCAGAGGAGCCTGCAGTCACGGTGCACTGTAGGTGTGCCAGCAGGTGGGTACGAATGCTCACCTGAACCTCCAAAAAAATACTGGACTCCTTTTGTGTGGCCCGCTGGTATGTTTTATTGAGAAATTACTTTCTCCGCAGAGTCATTCAGAGGTGCCCTGCATAATTCTTAATGTGATAGCCCCATGTATGTGCACCTTGGCTTCCCAACTCTTCTAGGAACTGGTTTCAAATCGTATGCCACCAGATTGTGACCACATATCCTAGAGATCGAGTACAGTAAGTCAATACAAGCATACCAGCACCTTCAAAGGGGTCACCAATGGAAGCCTTTTGCCCACTACCTAGGGATCTCCATTGGACACCCCTTTGAAGGTCCAGGTATGAGCCCCGTTTCCAACCATGTGTTTCAACCAGCTCTTTCACCTCACCAGCTCTTCTGTTCACCTCACCAGCGACCGGTCCCCGGTTCTCGCCGCTTCCTCCCGCTTCGCCCCCCCAGGTCCGACGAGCCGGTGAAGGACTACGACTCCGGGCCGAAGCTCTTTGCGCCTCAGTCGATCGATCAAAGACCGGGTGGGTCCGAATGGGTGAAGGGTATTTGGCCCGCTGGGACAGATCTGGACAGATATATGTCCAGCTCATGAAATCAGTAAGTATATGTAAGTATATATAAGATGTACTAACAATCACAGTTGGACATATTTTATTACACATTATATATGTTATCTATATCATTTTACTATTGACGTTGTCATTTTGTTGTCTCCACTGCGAGCTTTGTGCCAAGGAGATCGTCAAGTATCCACATCCATCGCTGCGCAGACCAAACGAAGAAGTGACGCTTGGTCCGTCGTTAGGGCCGCGTTGGTTGGCGTGTCGGCCATTGGTTTGCTGGCAGGGAGCAGCTCCAGGATTGTGTTTTCTCCAAGGTTGCATAGTCTACATAGTAGAAGACAATCAATCATGTTCTGGATTCTAGACTGTTGGTTGATGTTGTTTGGGGAGAAGGCGAGCATACTGCATGGAATGGGATCCAGGTCCCACCCAAATTGATTTGAGAGTAAAGTGCGGAGAGCCAAGACGATCGGGGGGTGCTTGGCCGACTAATAAAGCATTCGCGGCACGTACACCAGTGTTTCACCAGCGATTTGAGGACGGAGTTTGGGCCAAAGCTACAGCAGCTGTGGCTTGGAGTTGCGAATGTGGAGAACGTTTGTTGACTTGTGGGTCCCAGTGTGGCCCCTTTGGCACCAAAACGACGTGTCATCCAACAGGTAACAGGTTTGGAAGGATTCTAAGGATCGCCTTAGCTTGTTGACCAGGATGAAGGGTACTATAATTAATGTAGAGTCTTTTCATTGCCATAGCATCCTTTTCCGTATGATCTAGACCACGCCCATTGAAGGGTTCGATGGTTAAACCTGTCGAGCTTGAAGGGACACTACTTGGGAATTTGCAGTGACCTGGGTTGGGTTACAGGCGTCACCAAGATTCACCAAGGGTGCTCGAGGTGATAGGTGATTCTGATGGCAATTATGACTTTGTGATTTCCAGGCTATTCCAGGCTCATTGTTTCTCAAGTCTGGCTCCATCAAAGCACAACCAAGCTCCAAAGGGAGTTTGGCAGCAGATCATGACCTCTAGACTTCTCCAATATGTGGTCCGATCCCACTACTTGTACCGTGCCCGTGCCCTCAGCACCTGGCCTCCACATAGTCTTCCACGGACGTGTCGTGCAAGCGCCACGGCACGGACCGATGGAGACGAGCTGCGACGCCTGGTGGAGGAGGCCAGGACACCACGCCAGACACCTCGGAGGCCCCCAACAGGTTCGAGGGAGCTAGGGGATGGCACTGGTCGTTGGAGGTGTTGTGATTGTGGCGTGGAGAAGGTGGCAGCAGATTTCTCATTCAACGCAGGTGGACATGTGCGCTCCTATTGCAAAGCTTGTGACGCAGTCAAAAATCGCGAATACCGCCAGACCCTTCGTGGGAATGCTGGGACGCTAGTGCGGGGTGCTAGGCACCGATCCAAGTTGAAAGGCTGGTCTTGCAATTTGGATACTGACTTTATCCTTGACCTGATTCTTTATCAGGAGGGCAGATGCGCCTACTCTGGTGTTCAGATGGAGAATCTTTTGCCACACTCAGACTGGCGGATGTCTTTGGAAAGAGTGAACAACACCGTCGGGTATGTTCGAGAAAACTGTGTTCTTATTGCTGCTGAATTCAACTCGACAGAGAAGCTGAGCAAAAGAGTGCCAATAACATCAACATCCGGATCTTCACAATGGTCCTTGGAGAAGGTCCTAAGTTTCAGAGCTGAACGACAGTCGAGCGTGGATTTGTGGGGCTTGAATAGGTTGATCAAGGCTGCGCAGGAGAGATATTCATCTTTTCCTAGACCTGCCATTCTCACTAGTACTGCCTTTCAAAATGTTAAAAGTGAACTGGAGGTACTTGAGGGGGGCTTTGGACGATTCAGATGTTCCATGTGTGGGCTCTGGAAGCCTGCAAGCGGTTTTTCTTTGGACAAGAGCCGCAGGACTGGGCTCCGAAGCATATGCAAGCAATGTGATGGAGAATCTAAACTTAGGCACCGGATGACTTTGCGTGGTCACATCCAAAGCATGCTTCAAAGCGCCCGTCGTCGACACAAACTCGGGAAGTGGCACGGCGACTTTGAGCTTGACTTGGACTATGTGCTGAAGATGTTGTGGTGGCAACAGGGGCGTTGTTTCTACTCCGGTGTTCCCTTGCGCTTTGGTGAGTACAATGTTGATTGGAAGATGTCGCTGGAACGGCTCGACAACGGCAAAACCTACACCAAAGGCAATGCTGTGCTGGTTGCATTGGAGTTCAACACAGCGGATCATAGTGCACGCGCTGTTTCTCCGGTATCCGGCTCTAGCCAGTGGTCTAGGAGCAAGGTGGAACATGTTTGGGGTTCTTGGGAGGGTCCAGACAGATTGTTTGAGCCACAGATTGCTCGACTTGCTCAATTTGAGTAATTGGGCAGTGCGTGTGTGTTTTTGAAATGTATATGCTGCATTGAAGGGTCCTGGAGCAAGTCCTGAATGATCTAACTCCACCCCTGAGCTGGGGCACAGCTCCCATGACCGGTTCAAACATACAGTTCCAGCAGCAATGGGTCAGTAAGCGCCCATGGTTGACTGCACGTGGGACATCCCAGATCTCCAACTCAGATTCCAACCATTTTCGGTAACTGTAAGCTTCCAGCTGAGCTACCTAGTCACCACTACATCCGTGGCACAAATTCACGAGACAGATTGGAAGACAGTGCTAAGAGAGGGTGCTGTTTGAAGGGAATTATATAACGAGAGGATGTACCTAAAGCGCCCTGCTGCTCAGAGAAAAAAGTGGGCTTGCGGATCAAGGGTGCTCGCATACCAACAACAATCAACAACCATAAGGGAGTAAATGTTGGACCCTGACCAGTGGACGTGGGCACCTTTTGCCGTCTTCAATCTTTGAGGCAACTTTGGACTTTGTGCATCATGTAGGCCACTGAACAAGGATTCGTTATGGGATGTTCTGGTAATATGTAGGGCCAGAAGATCAATCAACATCTCTTTTTTGTCGCTCCATTTGCACCCTACTCCTCTCCAAAAAGGAATCAACACCGCCAGACTCGCCAGACTGCTGAGGTCCAAGAACCTCTTCCGCACCATGTACAAGCGCGACGATGGTTGCGGCCTCGCTGCGCCGCAGTGTGGCGTGAACCTTCGGGCGTGGTGCCCGAGGTGTTGTTTCGGGCAAGTCTGCACTGAAGTGGAAAGAAGTGGAAGGTTTGGATTGTCATCCCACATCCGACACATCTGTTTTGGACCAAAGATCAGTAGAACAGAGTCCATATGAGTCAGTAGAACATGTGCTACCTTTCGACACTGGTTCCAAGCGCTTCGATTCCCCTGGGCGGCTTTGTTCTTTGGCTTCCCCGGACGCCGCCCCAGCGGGCACTGATCGGCGTGGGAACCCCACGGCCCCACGGCGCAGGTCATGGTGTACAACTACCTCCGGACCTTGGAGTCCATCGATCCTTCAGGCGGAAGAGGGCGCGCCACAACGAAAACAATGGGGGGGGGGGGTTTGTTTGGGTGTTCGGGGAGCGGAGTGGGAAAAAAAGGTATTGAAAGGTATGAAAGCGGTGGCAATGGACTAGATAGAGAACTAGAACTGAGAGGTATGAAAACTATATACCTCCTAGGCAGTCGCTGTCATGGAAAACACCATGAGTCGACCAATGTGGGTCTTTGATCATCGTTCTTTTGAACACCAATTGATGCACATGCGCTACGCTGGTTAGCAGGTGCGACCGTCTTCGTGAACCCGAAGATCACTGCGCGATCGGATGAACAGGATGAGGCCTGAGAGCCCGGAAGCCGCACCGAGGTGAAGCCAGGATGGCAGTAACTATAAGAGCACAAACTGCTGGTGTTGTGCTGCGATCTAAGCTTGGAAGGCTAGTCTGGGAGGTGCCTTGATTGTCCGTGATTCATTCCATGTCAAAAGGAATCCTGCTGTGGGGACGATTTCTGGCCCAAATGCCCTGCAGGATGTGGAGGGTTGCCTCTCCTTCCCTGGCTTCGGAGCGCCTGTGGTGCGCCCCATATGGGTTGAGGCAGCGTGGGGATGGGCGCGTTTGACAACTTCAGGACTTCATCAGAACTAAGACTCTATATACCCCATCAGGCCGTGCCCCAGGTAGTTCTAACTGATCCCGTTCGAGTTCGAGTTCAAGTTCGAGTTCGATGCGCGAGATTGCGTGGATCGAGCGAGAGGGGGGTGGACCAGTTCGAGTTCGAG